ATAATTTACAGACATCCAGGGATAAATACAAGCTACTTCTGACTTCAACAGTTACACTTAAAGAGGTTACCATTAAAATTCAAATAGTTATCTTCTTCTTTTTTTCTTCTTTTTCTTTTTCTTCTTTTTGTGCATTTTCCCTTAATCACCACAAGAATGCTAAAAATCAATGGGTCATGAACCCACAGAGATCTATGAGGAAGAAACCTTTAAAATAACTATTTGACACAGACAACTAATAACCAGTTTTAAAATTTATCTGCATTTTAAAAACGTTTGCTTCAAAGTATATAAAGATATATAAAGATAGTAATCAGTAATTAAGAATAGAATGAATCATTCAGTAGAATCCATTCCCAGGGGTCAAAAACAAATATGTATCTAGTGACTTAAGCAATGACCCCTGTAACCTCTATCATGGAGGCTTACAGGAACATTTTAAATCAACCTGGCCTTAAAAAAAGCCAATAGGGTCACTGAAAAACCCCTTTAAATGCTATACTTAATTAATATATTCACATCTGGGCTCATAAACACCATGCAGGAGCTCATATAAAAAATGGTATTTAACTATTGTTCAAGAATAAGTCACTGTAGAATGGTTATATCATCACCATTTATGGGTTGTGCACAACCAGAAGGGACTAGATTTTAAACTGTACACATTTTTCGAGGTTAGTATAATTAAAATACACAATCATTTGGTCATCATCTGACCTCAAATAGTCAGGAGCAGGTATGTGATCTAGACATGATCAATTACTGAAAAGGATAGACGAATATACCAGTAGACATGCATGGCACCTCTAAGGTTATCAAAAAGAGGTAAGGGCACTGATAGATCAGCATTCACATCCAGAAGATATCATCACAGATGGATCCTTGAAGCACGGATCAAGGTCAGCATGGCAAACACAGCACAAAGGATGGGGAAAACCATAAATGAGAACAGCGGTGCTTACCAGGCAACTACATCGTACAAGACCATGGAAACAACCGCTGCTTCTAGAGCACTAGCATGGGCAGCAGAGCAAACAGCTACAAATGCAGTAATTGTATCAGACTCCATGAGCATGCTTCAGAAGATAGCATTTGGCGGTATGCTCTCTGATGGGTAAAAATCATTTGAAAATCGCACTTAACCTTCCTCACCTGCAACTGAGTAATGAGCAAGCTTACTAACTGGCAAGCAATGCACCAACGAATGTTGAAAGTAGCATGGACAGAGCAGATATCATCAACGCTGTACGGACTGGGCTAGTGGATAATGATGAATCTCTGACACTAACATGATTAAGTGACATGGGAGTGAAGCATGTCTATGCAGTCTTTGAGGCCGAGCTAGGAGACATTATAACCAACCTCCCATGGAAAAAATTTGTAGAAATACCTTGAAGGGGTGGCTACATAGGTAACTGAGCACAAATGGGAATTCCCAGTGTACAGTGGTGTGGCGTCAATTGTAATAATATAACATAAGTCAGGAGCATCCATCTGACCTCAAACATTCAAAATACAGCATTCATCTTCCATAAAACAGTCAAACAGGGTCAATCATTATATCTCAGATAGTCAAATTAGAACATCCAATTGGCCTCAAACACTCAAAATAGAGCATGCATTTGACAAATAGTCAAGATAGCTTCAATCATTAGATCTCAGTCAAATCAGAGCATTTGTATGACCTCAGACAGTTAAAATATGGCATTTATTGGACCTAAAACCACCAAAACTTTGTATTTATTTGACCTCAAACATTCAAGGCAAGGGCAATCATCTGACCTCGAAAGGTCAAAAAGAGCATACGTCTGACCTCAAACAGGAAACAAGACAGTATCTCAGCTTTCCAATGAACACAGACATATGTGTCTTCACTAATGTGATTTATCCAAGATTTCTTCCATCCGCCTCTCTACAGCACATCTTCAACTGTTCCTGGAAAAGATGAAAGAAGACTACAAGAAATTGAAGAATGTAAGAACAGTAAATAATACTCCTGTCTCCAAAAATTTTGTAGTCTCTGTGGGTTTCAGATTTTTTTTTTTTTTAATATTTCTTATAAGGATGTGGCAGTCCTCTACAGAGCATTGCTCCCATCATTACATGTCTGGGGAGGGGAGGGGAGGGGGAGATCTCGGCCCATTCACCAGCTCTCTTGCCTCATGCACTCTCCTGCCCAAGGTGTTGGTTACCCCCTGCGCCCATCTTTGCACTGGTAAGCCTGTGTTCCTCTTAACCAGTACCATGCCGTCTGCTACTGTTCTTTCTAATCCACCATGATATTTGATATGGCCAAAGTATTTCAGTTTTCCAAGAGAAGATGCTGTTTACCAGCCAATTTTCCTTAACTGTCGGTTCTTTTATGATGTAAATATTTCTTTTCTTCTCAGTCCATGGTATTCTAAACATCTCTCTATCGCATTTCAACCTAAAAGCCTCTATTTTCTTCCTTGATGGTTGTGAGATAGTCGAGAACTCACATCTGTATATATCCTTTAGTTCTGCTTGGATATTATTAGTGGTACTTATGTTGAATTAAGAATTGACATCACACCAGTCGGGACACTCCCATAAGTGCTCATCACCCATCTTCAGCATCAAGTGAAGAGTTCCAATTCCGATGGTACCAGTAACCATCAGATTGTTTATCTGTATGAAGGTCTGTTGTAGCCATGGCTAGCGTGTTTACTTAACAGTCTGAGGGTTCATCAGCACACACCCCCATGGATGTGGATTTTTTTTTTTTCAATAGAACCTTGGCCTTCCAGGTCGGCCGAGTCTAAAATGGAAATCAGGAAATTGATAGGAAGTAAAGGTTACTGATAATTTTAACTATGTCTTCCATCAAGTGTCACTTGGTCCAACAAAATAAAGGGCTAACACCATATGTCTAGTTCACATAAAGGCATGGGGATGACTGAAGAACGCGGCTGATTTTGATCACAGGCATGAGAGAAAGTTAAATCCGTTGTGCGATGAATAAAAATATACCTGCATGCTCTCTGCTGGTTTTACAGACCCAAAGTTCCTGCCCAACATCCATGTCAATAGCTTTGGATTATAAAAAATGCTAAATATGAGTTGAGTTGATTCAAGAACAAACATCACAGCACTTGGGGCATTCCCATAAGTGCTCTGTCCCCATCTTCAGCAGCCAGTGAAGCGTTCCATAACTAATGGTGCCAGTAGCATTCTGATTAAATGTCCGGCTTGCCTTTCCTCTGAGCCTCGAGCATCTGCCAGAACCTCTTGTCACTCCCCCCTGCATCAATCTCACCAGATTGTGGTGAGCCATCTGCTCCTCTGAACTGTACACGCTCTCCCGCAAGGCACTAACCATGTCTGCCTTATTATGCATCAGTATTTCACCAAGTTGTGAAGAGCCAGCCAGTTTGTCCATCTGTTCATTTCTCAACACACCGGCTTGTCCCAGTGAAAAAAATCCAGACAATAATCCTCACACATTTCCTCCACAGTTAAGCATGCCACTCTGCACGAAGCATGCCTGTCCTGACCTTCTTCAGCATGCTTTCTAAGTCAGTTACAACCACAATGTGTGTGTGTGTGTGTGTCATGTTCTCTAACCAGCGGAAAGCTGCAGGGACCGCCTCAACCTCCATTCTTAAACTGGATGTTGTGGTATCATATGCTTGGCTCTCTTTCACCAAACTTTGACCATTAACTTTTGCCAAGAAACCTCAAGGACTTCTTTTGCCTCTTGACACTGAACTGTCTGTGTAAATAATCAAACTCTCTGAGCAAGCATTATCTTGAATTAATTGCTGAATTTCCACCTCCGTGGCACCTGCTGCCCAGTCTCTGCATTCTCATTTCAGTGTGATTGTGACCCTCCACAAGTCTGACTGTTCAGGTAGTACTTTGACCCACTCCTCTCCTCGCCTAATGTTTTTGAGGATGCAAACCTGTTTAATTGTGCCTTCTGCCTGAGCCATCCATGACTTCCCTCTTGTCAGCCTCTGTCCCTTAACTGTGCCCAGAGCTTCGTGCAAGGGGTGGTCTGTGTCTGCAGCTACCTTAAGAAGGCAGTCTGAACCTTTTGCAACTATTTAGTGGAACTTTTGCTCATTGTACAATGAGACCTATTTTGATTGTCACCTATGCACTGTGGGTAGGCTGATGAGTGCCAGAGGTTGTCTGACACTACATTTCTGGGAACTATCACTCTGAGATCCCCTGCCATCTTTGTTAAGGCCAACAAAGACTAATATCCATAGCGATGACGTAAATAGGGGGTGACTGCAGTCCAGCTGATAGCAAGAAATGCTAAATATAACACTGAATGTGAAGAAAGCTCAGCGGAGGAACTGGAAAAGACGCACACAAACACAACTGAATGTTTCGACAAAAGTCTTCATAATTTGTGTGGGTTAGTGAAACCGCTAGATAGTTCACAATGAGTTCAGAAAAGTTTACTATGTCAATTATAACAAACTAATGAATGAGTTATTCGGTACGGAGATAATCAAAGTTTTGCAGTTGAGTCTATCACTGAGGCATCATCTCCACAGTGAAGGTGGACTGCAATAAATCTCAAACAGCCTCTTCACTCACACTGATATACATACTCTCAGCCTGCTGTTCAACAGCATCTTGATATTATGCTCTCACTTGTATCCTTGTCTACCTCTCGCACACTGGCCTCAACACTTCCCTTCGCTATGATTTCTCTGAGTATTATTTCTTCATTTTAATGTATCAGAAGTATTTCATCCATCTTTTAATTATTTCTATTAACAGCCCTTGTTACATTTTCAGTTTCTCAGAAACTCTGAACTATTTTTTTTAAATCTCCAAGAAATACAACACAATATCTACATTTCAAGGGCCTCCGTTTTAATTTCAAACTGCCTATTCATTGTCAAGATCCACTTCTGTTACACCATAAGTGTCTGAGTAAACACTCAACAAGAATAACTTCCATTAGAGATTAAAACTTTAAGGAAATAAACATGCATGTCAACTAACCTTCTTAAACGATGTTAAAAAATTAAATTTTGTCCACGCAGAATTTCAGTTTGATTAATCCTGACATAGATCCAAGTATAAAGCGGTCGCAGTTCTTTATCCAGCAGTTCATATTTTAAACTGTTTAAGCCATCCTTATGGATGCGTTGTCTGCTTGTTGCAAACAGCCTTGTTCTGCAAAGAAATAAAAATACAAAATTATACTTTTGAGTAGTAGAGTGAATATAATGGCAATGCTGAAGTAGAATTAAGAAGTGGCTCCTGAGTCGACCCAGCCTACAATGTGTACCAGGTAAAGTTTCGGGAAGCAAAGGTGGCCAGCATGATGATGAACATATGTCACATGTGAGTACAGCATAATATGTCTGATGCGCTACTGGTGTGAATATGGTTCTTCTTTACTTTCTTTACTAGGACTGAAAAGTTAACAGCATGCTCTATCAATCTCACAACCCATCCTTCATTATCTCCATCTCCTGACCTTTATGTGTGGCAATTTCAGAGCATTCAAAGGAAATCTCACAGGAATCTACTGCATTTATACATACCTGTCTTCTTTATTCTCTTTGGCATGCCTCATCATTGTGTATCTGGCAACATCTGATGCATACCGCTCTATTAGCATTGAATGGCTCCGTATCCTTTGAAAAAAAAATTACACTTTTATGATTATGAAGTAATGTATTTTCTGTTTTAAAGAAATAAAATGCTAACAAGCATGTTAGCTTATGATTACCACAAACTGTAAATGTGTTAAAAACCAAACCAAGGCTATAGAGATGGGATGTGGATATACAGAACAATTAGTTGTATTTCATGGAAGCAAAAAAAAAATCACATACACAGGATGGGAAGAGATTGAGAATGAAAAGAAAATTGCTGAAAACAGTAACGAGACAAGTGAAGCATTTTGGCCACACCAAAAGATATAACACTTTTTTTAAAACCATACAGAAGGGAAAGGTTGAGTACAATATGGGACAGTAATACAAGTAGTAGGACTACAGCAAAAGATGGATGAATAGCAGTCTGAGAGAGTGTACAATTAGGTCAAGAGACAAAGCATGTTAGAGATCCTCCACAGCCAACCTTCACTGTGGAGATGGCACCTGACTGACTGACTGATTGTAATAGTATTAAAAGTATATATTTTCGTTGATTAGATACATTTCCTTGCAAAGGTTTTCTTGTTCACTTCTGTTCCAGTAATGTCTGTACAAGAGGTTTGGATTTTTTGGATGTATTTTGCTGTGTTTGACAGATCTCTTGTGGATTAGACCTAGCTGTCCACTTTTAGGTACTGCAGCAAAGAAAGAATAGACCCAGTACCCGAACAAGCATTACTTCACCTGTGACTGATTAAATGATTTGCTGATACAAGTTGTGTTGAGTCAAAAGGTGCAGGTGAAGCCTAGCTGTAAACCACAACACAATGTACTAACTGCACTTTTAACTCTTTCAGGACCAAGCAGTTACTACCTTAACCTCTTATATCCCAAGGAGCTGAGCATAAAAGCAATAAATATGTAGGTTTGAATTATTTCAACAGAGATACTATGGGCCAGAAGGAGTTGAACTAATAAATCAAGTAGAAAAGGGTAATGGGCCAACTGTCTGTGACAAAAGACCTGCAAAAATATCAGATTATTTTTGAAACATCAAGAAAAATGTGGATGTGTTTTTTTCCTTTTCATATACAAAATGGAGACTATCGTCTATGTCAGGTATAAAAAGTAAACTATAGCAAATAAAGGTAGAAATTCTCAAGAACAGAACCCACACACTGTCAGAGCACTGTAACATTTATTTCTTGTTTTCAAAGACACAGTTATGTTTATCTGTGAATAAGTAATACTAAGCAGAAATGGAAAGGTATGCAGATAATACTGGTTGTTATGGCTGGACCTCCACTGTACACTGATTGTCTTTAAATCTGTAAGGCCAGAGCAACGCTGTGAGTGTTGACTGAGTTCTTTTTTGCCCAAACAACATTGTTAGCGTCGATCGTGTGTCCCGTACATACTTATTCAGACATGACTCATTTCTAATGTTTGGAACTATCATTTGAGTATTCACGGAAGGTTACCTAACATTTTTCTCTGTATAGGAGTCTTTGTTCCCCCGCCCATACATGGTTACAAACTGATTTCATTCATTGCTAGCATCATTTTCCAGTTGGCGCTTTTTGCAATTTCTTGTTCGACGCCATGGATACCGACGTTCCAACCACAAGTACAGGCCACAAAATGCGTCTTTCTGCGGCTGAAGCTCAGAAATTGTTTAAGTTGGATATTTTTAATTCTGACAATCATAATGAAAATTTAGATTTTTCGTAAAGTAATTTGGACGGTGAACATACACCAGCGGCAGCTGAGTGATCAGCTGTTAGGGAATCTAGCAATTCTGATGAGTTTCACATAGAGAATGTTCCACTGCTACCGTATTTAGGTGTAAGAGGTGTAAGACAAATAGACAGTACCATATTTTAGCTAAGCTACATTGAAATCACTGCAGCTACAGTCTTTATGTAACTGTATAAAGTAAATAGTAAATAGTGTGTTTGTAATGGTCTATTTTCTGCCATTTTTCCTCTGACATTTTGTTCAGCACTCTGTGAGAACTTTGAGCCTCTGGGTGCTAAACTAACCCAGAAACTTATCATAACTTTGAAATTTGTTAGGAAATTGAACAAACTTTAAAGATTTTTTCTCAAATTTGGATATTCACTGCTCTTGTGGTGGCAAAACCATGGTAGATGAAGAATTTGTTCCTAAAATTTTATCTTTGTAAACTTAATACCTGTTAAATTCATCTTTCCTACTAACTATAACAGTATTAAACATAAACATATCAACACATTCAAATTGTACATTTATTCTTTTTTACAAAAATATATACTTTTGTAGGGATTAGGAATAAAATACACTTTCTATTGCCTTTATTGTACACCACCCTCTCTGCCATTTCTGTAAAGGGAAATAAATTTAAGCCAAGTCTGTCAAAATTTATGGGCCCGAAAGAATTAGAAACCCTCAAAACATCACCTGTAAGACATGTCATCATCTTCTCCACCCCAGCCAAAGTAAACATTTGAGAAGCCATTAACCTTTTCCACCATCTCCCGTGTCATCATAGAGGCACCTCCAAACAATTCATGGTACATAAGTCTGAAACATAAAACATTTGTTTGACAAAAATAATCTAATCCTTAAAAAGAAAAACATTATGAAATATTCTTATTAATCTCAATCTTTAGGCCATGTTACTGCTCTAACATTTATACAGATGGTTCAGTGTTGAGAGGAAAGAGAAGTGCCTGGGGGTTCGTACCTAAAGCCAATGGAAAATTTTTAGTGCAAGACAGCTTAGCATATGACACCACAACATCTAGCTTGAGAATGGAGGTGGAGGCGGTAACTGCAGCTCTCCGGTGGCTAGAGAACAAGATGCATACACATGTTGTAATTGTAACAGACTCTGAAAGCATGCTGAACAGGTGAAGGGATGCTTCAAGCAGAGTGGCAAGCGTCACTGAATAGGTCACGGGTAGTGAGCATTCTTTGGATCTTTTCTCCAGGCTATGCCGGCGTGGTGGGTAATGAACAGGCAGACAGATTGGCTGGATCCACTGGGTGGTGAATTGATACATGACAAGGCAGATGTGGTCAAGGCCCTTTGGGAACAAGCAACACAATTAGTAGAGAAACAAGATTATTATGGCCTGGAGAGAATGAGGTACATAGGTGTAACCAGAGGGTCTGGCCGGCTTACTACACTCCGAGGAAAGGAAAGACGGACATTTAACCAGAATGTGACTGGTACCATCGTTACTGGAACTCGGCGCTGGCTGCTAAAGATGAGGACGGAGCATGCATGGGAATGCTCCGAGTGCTTTGATGTCAATTCTTGACTCAATTCAATTCAACTGCTGTAAACACCACTACTGTTTTCATCAGACATATATATGTGAGTTGTAGACTATCTCACAGTCCTTAAAGAAGAAACTAGATGCTTTTGAGCTGAAATGCTTTAGAAAGATTCTCAGAATACCATGGACAAAGATGAAAAAAAATATACTGTCATCATAAAAGATCTGAACATTAAGAAAGATTGGTTAGTAAAAGCATCTTGTATCCGAAACTGACATTTTTTTTGCTATATCAACTGCAGTGGCGGATTCGAAAAATATAAGCAGAAGGCATGGTACCAGGAAAGAAGAGCAGTGGCTTACTAGCATGAAGATGGGCTCAGCATATAAGTGTCATTATGGGTTGGAGAATGTATAAGGCAAGAGGGCTGGCGAGAGACCCAGTTTCTTTCAGGCAGACCATGATGAGAGCGATGTTCTGCAAAAGACCCACCACATGATGATGATGATGATTTAGTCAAAGCTTGACATGACTGGCTAAATAAGAACAACAATGCAGCTTGAGAAACTAAATAAAATTATAATAAATATAAAGACATGAAGTAATAAGCTGCTGAGTTTTGAAGTTTCCAAGATCTGTAGTGTCCCTGTCTCCTGCTTTAAAAACTACATTTCTGTGGGGGTTTTTAATTTCTGTGTTTGATCGCTGCTCATATATTAATTCTTTTTAACCCAACTAACACACGGTGTGTGACTGGCTGTTTTTCATATATAACAGCAGGGTATGCAGTACCATAAATTTTTTTTTTTTTTTTCAAGTATTATTGTTTTTTTTTTTTTTGGTTCTTTCACTTCATTTGTGTGAAAATCACCTTTTTTTTTCTATGAAAAAAGCTTGGTATACCAGTAAATGTATCATTTAAGCATGTATATCTTGTATTTAATCAGAGACTCAGAAAGTAACTCTGGGTAATATGTTTATTTTTCTACAAGGGGTGTGTATTTCATCCAAGTGGTAGTAATACATCTATGAGTTAGCAGTATGATCATTATTGCATGTCGGAGTAGTAAATCTGTGAGTTAGCTGTGTGGTCATTATTGCATGTCAGAGTAATACACCTATGAGTTAGCAGTATGGTCATTATTGCATGTGGGAGTAGTACATCTTTAAGTTAGCTGTGAGGTCATTATTGCATGTGGGAGTGGTACATCTATGAGTTAGCTGTGTGGTCTTTATTGCATATCAGAGTAATACACCTATGAGTTAGCATTATGGTCATTATTGCATGTGGGAGTAGTACACCTATAAGTTAGCTGTGTGGTCATTATTGCATGTTGGAGTAGTACATCTATAAGTTAGCTGTGAGGTCATTATTGCATGTGGGAGTGGTACATCTATTAGTTAGCTGTGAGGTCATTATTGCATGTTGGAGTAGTACATCTATTAGTTAGCTGTGAGGTCATTATTGCATGTTAGAGTAGTACATCTATTAGTTAGCTGTGAGGTCATTATTGCATGTGGGAGTAGTACATCTATTAGTTAGCTGTGAGGTCATTATTGCATGTTGGAGTAGTACATCTATTAGTTAGCTGTGAGGTCATTATTGCATGTGGGAGTAGTACATCAATTAGTTACCTGTGAGGTCATTATTGCATGTTGGAGTAGTACATCTATTAGTTAGCTGTGAGGTCATTATTGCATGTTGGAGTAGTACATCTATTAGTTAGCTGTGAGGTCATTATTGCATGTTGGAGTAGTACATCTATTAGTTAGCTGTGAGGTCATTATTGCATGTGGGAGTAGTACATCTATTAGTTAGCTATGTGGTCATTATTGCATGTGGGAGTAGTACATCTATAAGTTAGCTGTGTGGTCATTATTGCATGTGGGAGTAGTACACCTGTGAGTTAACTGTGTGATCATTATTGCCTATTATTAGCTATAAACATTTGGGACCTAACGATTAAATCCATCATAAATGACACAGTAGTGGCTATTAAATTTGTTGCTTTTCAGGCTGCACAAATCAGAAATATCCAGTCTTACTTGTAGTTGTGAGTATCGATAGCAGCACTTAAATGTACTGGCTGATCACCACAAGAGTAGTAGTTTCTGTCATCCAAAGGAAGGAGATCAACATCATGGAAGACAAAGCAGTCATAACTGTGCACCTTGATTGATTCTATAAAGCCTATGTTGAAGAGGATGGCACGGTTGAACAGTGAATCAGCTTCCTGCCAATTTCCAACAAGAAAACCAAATTAAATATAAAAAAAAATTAACACATATTAGGAGAATCATAAATTTTACATTTGTTGTGTCTTAAAATGTACAAATTCCTATGCCACTGTCATTCCACATTTAAGTACTACTGCATTCTTCTTGTATAATGTGGACATCATTAAACTCTAAAAAAAAAAATTAATTTTAAACTAATTTTCAATCAGTATTTCTTATAAACATTCAAAACACAAAACATAAGTACACATCATTTAGTTTACTAATTTATATGTAACAAAGTTAAAACATTAAGAAAAGAAGCAAACAGAAAAAATGGAATGCATTTTGATAAAAAGACTTACTGTCATTTTTTGTGTATCAGACTAGATGTGTTCCCAAATTTTTAAGTTTAACATTAGGGGTAGTTTTAAAAAACAGAATGTCATTAAAATATTTACTTCTTAAATTTGGGCTGAAAGAAATAAGAGTCATCTTATAAATGGGGGTGTTTTATACACATAAAAATATGGTATTTCGTATTTTATAAAAACTCTTGGACAGTGTCAAGCTAATTTAAATTCAATATAATTATCTTTGCTGTTTAGATGGTAGTCATGCCTGCATTCATTGCTTGTTTGTATAGCTTTCTTGATATCACAGTAAGGTATTATTTTTGTACTTCCTCAGTACCATATGACATTAGTGCATCTTCTTCTCCTTCTTATTCCTCTCCTCCTTCTTATTTTTCCACTTCTGTGTTTACCTTTAAGAGGATAATTTGAAAGTTGTTTTGCAGATTATAACTAGGTTGCGATATCTGCACCTTTTGACCCACCACATTCAATTTCAGCAAACCCTTTTAGTTGTCTTTTTTTTTTTGGGTATAATGTTTGCTTTTTTTGTGCGTGATTGTGACATAACTGTGATACTCTAGCCTTCCTTTTGGTCATCTTCAGGCATACATGTGTGTTAATTTTTCCATAAATGAAGGCCAACAAAATAATCATGTGTTAATGCAGTATGCAATCCTTTATAATATTGGCCTCCTTCAGTCAAATCCAGCAATGAGTTGATGTGTCTTTAAACAGAAAACTTCAATCCCAGTAAATAGAGTTAGTTAGGAGTTTTTGACAATATGTAACAATTATGTTTTAATTAATAGAGAATTAAATTTTAAAAGCACTCACCAAAAGTTATTTTCCCCAAATTATAGAGCAGCAAAACAAATTACAAGAATCAATTATACCAAAGCATGTTATTTTTCAAAACATTTGCTTTCAATAAACAGTGTTACTAAACAATTACATTAGAATTAAAGATACTACTCCAATATAAAGCTACAGACTGAAAATATTAGTATAAATAAACTTAAAGAAGGATAAACAAAATTCTTCTTCTTCTTCTTTCGATCGCTTGAAATAAATTATCTATATCTGCAATGCTGTCTCTAGTATGAACTTCACTGTCTTTTGTAATTCACTAAGCAGCCCATAAAGTTTGACTTCCACAAGTGTCTTTTTTGGCCAGAAGTTTTGCCTGGAAGATTTGAATCTGGGACAGTCTTGGAGGGTGTGATCTGTTGTCTCAGGTGCCAGTCCAAAGGTACATACATGGTTGATTCGCCAATCTTAAATTTTTGTACATGTGGCAGCGAAGTCGATTTTGCCCTGCTCTAAGGCTAGGGATAATTACTTGCTCTGGTCTGTCCATAATATGGTAATTGTCTTGTGCCAGTTTCGGTGGCTTTCTGATTGATTTTATTATTCTCTTCTTCTATTGATAAGAGACTGGTATGTCGGGTTGTTCTTCAGTTGCACCTATCTTAGCTAGTTTATCAGCTCTTTTGTTTCCTCTTTAATTCCATGGGGTAGTTCAGAAACCAGGTCATTGATATAGACTAGAAAGAGTGTGGGGGACAGCACAGCTCCTTGTGGGACACCACGGCCCAGCAAAACTTTCTTACTCTTGAGTCCATCTACCTGTACTCTGGTTCTTCTGTTATACAAGTATGCTTTCACCCATTTGTACATACTCCTATTCATCCTACAGTCTCTCACTTTATTCAGTAGACCTTCTTTCCATACCTTGTCAAAGGCTTTCTTCAGATCTATCCATGCTGCTAGCACCAGTTTCTTTTCCTGGAAGGCATCTTCAATTTCTTGCGAAAAGTAAGTTGTCTGATCTTCTGTGGAGTGGCACTGTCTAAATCCTGCCTGCTGCGACATGATAATGTTTTCACTTTCCAAGTACCATTGGAGTCTAAGGATGACAATACATTCCATTGTTTTACAGAGGCAGCTGGTAAGACTGATCAGTCTATAGCTGGAGGCATCAGAACTGTCCTTTCCTGGTTTTAGGAGACGTATCGTGATTGCTTCTCTCCATATCTGGGGAACTTTCCCACTGGTCCAACAATGATTAAAGATTAGCAGCAGCTTTATTTTGGCTGCTGTTCCAAGGTTTGTGATCATTTCATTAGCTATGCCATCAATTCCTGGTGATTTTCCCATTCTCAGCTATGACATTGCTAACTCACTAGATGTAAGTGCTGCTACCAGTGCCTCAGGAATTATATCACTTTATCTTGTATGTTGCTGGTTCTCTCAAACCTCTTGCTGTTTCTCTGGGCTGACATTAATGTTGCTGTCTTCGGCAAAAGAATCTGCAAAGTGGTCACCTGCCTGTTTTTTTGTTAGGATGGCTCCTTCTTTGCATTAGTGATTTGTGGTGAAGCAAATAAAGTTGATGAAATAGCAGCAAACAACTAATGTGATGAATTTTACCTAGTAAGAGAAAAGTATGTCTTCTGTCATGCATACAATATGGACAAAACTAGTTTTCAAACAATAGTATGAGATTTGCATTGTGGAAGAGAGAGGGGCACCTCTTTAGGTAATATTTACAAGAAAACAGTGATACTCTGTAGCCAGCCAACTTTGTTTGTCAGTTGCAACACTGAAATTTCAGTCTCGGTTAGCACAAATTTAAGTTAACACCAACTTTTTTTTTTTTGTGGCTGGTCCCTTGGAGTTTGTGTTAACGAGAGTTTACTTTATTGGCAATTTTATAATATTGGCAATATTAGCTCTTCAATCTCCGTCATCTGATAAGTTAATAAAATTGGTGTCGCTTATATCACTTATAATATTAACTGTTGCATTAAATATTTAAATATTTCTCAGTATTTTTCTGCATCATGCCTAATTCATCCTGGCATAAGGCCAGTTTCTGTACTCGACTTCTTCTGCTGATACTGTCCCACAAATAAATAAATCAACAAATGACAGTAAGTCATGTTGAACTAACAGAATCTAGGATAGCATCTGTTTTTTTTCAAGTTACCAGACTCTTTTGTGAATTTCAGAAATGTACAGAACTAACTAAAATAAACAGCATTTCAAATGTTTACAAAGAGGTCGGATAAACTATTTATAATGTTGAAAAGTTTAGAGAAAAAAACAAGAAAGCACAAGCACATACCTGCTCTACAACAATGATTCCATATTCCAGATTCTGGCGCTGGAGAAATGGATGCATGTGACGTAGGAATATTTTCAAATGAACATCTCGATCTCTGAACGGTACAATAATTGCCACCTTATATTTTGATCTGGTAAGAATGAAACAAGCTTATTTTGTGATTTTGTTTATAGAAAACTGGACTGCTTCTTCATTCACTGTATACTATTTTCATCTCCACTTCAAACAAAGCATACAATTTGTATGTTGTTTCTCAAGTAAATGCTTACTATATATATATATATATATATATATATATATATATATATATATATATATATATATATATATATATATATATACACACACATATGGAACTGATCACGAAATTCACCTCATCTCTCTCATGCATGACATCTCGTGGCGGTTCCCATGGGCTGTCCTATCTTCTAAGAGTGTTATTAGATGGCTCTCTTCACTGTCTATACAGAGCGTGGCAAAAGGTGACTGGCATTCATTCGACAAGATCAACGTACTGTCTCCCAAATGCAGCTGTGCAGCTTTGTTTCCACTACTGTCTTTTGTGTGAATGAATTTTGTTTCTTGAATGTACTGTTGTAAGTAGCTTCCTTGTTGTACAAGTAAGAAGTACTGCAGGGGGAAGCGGCGAAGGCACATCACATCATTGATGTTTTTGTATTTTTACGCTCAATGGCAGTGGCTGTCGTCAGTGGTGGATGTACTTAAAAACTTCAAAACAAGCAACACCTGACATCCCTAGAACAAAGGACAGCCTATGGTTCTTCATCTTCTCTGCTTCGGTTTCACATGCTCAGGTCAGACTGTCATGTGAGCTGCCTTAAAGATCCCCAGTGTCTGTTGCAGATCTTCCATGATTCCCCACATCTTGCTCTGCACTTTGCTCTTGAGGCTAGATTTTTCTTCCTAATTGCAAGTATAGGGGGCAGACCTGCGAAATGTATTTAAGTGTTTGTGGTCCTGTCTGACAAGCACACAGTGGGGACAGTCTTTATTTTATGCATGTGGGACTTAACCTGCAGATTCCTGTTCTTGGATGGAAAATTGTATGTTGTTCTATGTTGAGTCTGCTGATTAGGTATTGTGGATGTTTGCTGTTGATTTATTCTCTCCACAATTCTTGGATTTCCCCTTGAAAACTGATTTATTTCTGGTAGTGACAATGAATGGTCATGTTGTTTCTCCTTTGATCCATTCTGTGCGAGTCTGTCAACAGAGTTTTTATTCTCCTTCTTTAAACTCAGAAACAAATGGAATGTGCAAGACCACTACTGTAACTTTAAATATGCAGAGTCATATTAGTTTATAGCCAGGTCATGATTTGGCATAGACTTGCTAAATTTAAGTCTATGTGTAATGTTTCTTTCCCAGATTTTAAGTATTCCATTGTCAACAGACACCTAACCAATGCCCAAGACGGCGAAGATATGTTTAATGTAAAATATATTCTTGGTTCTTCAGATTATTACTTAATTTGATTCTACAGCAAGCGGGGTATTTTTCTATAAGCTGTTTCCTGTTAATTCAGTAAAAGTTTAATTAAATATTATCAGTTCTAAGAGAAGGTTACAAAATTTTAACAAATTTGTTTGTACATGTTGATTTCTATAAAATAATAAGTATTATTGATTTTCATTAAAATTATTCTCTTCTGCTATTTCAGCTGTGTAGTACAATGTTAGGATAAGTACTTGCACAAAAGTGGGATATAGTGTCCTCCAGGTAAAAGAGATGGACTCAAGTCTTGTTCAAGGTCATCAATACTTGGCACTGTTTCAGTGTCTGCATAAATGGGACCCTCTGAAGAAAGAATAAAACAGTAATGAAACAATTATAGTTTCCCATTACATTATATTATTTATTTTCCACACTGAAATATTTATATTTCCCTAAAACAAAAGATGAATATTTAAACATAGATTCTTCAGTTCAACCTTTTTTTTCCAGGTATATAAGTAAAACCTCTTTAACTCTTTGAGTCCCAAGGAACACATCATGCACTTATTGGTTACAACCCAGCGGCCCAATCAGCACGTGACAAGTGAAAGTTTTTAATTTACCACTGACCAGTAATAAAATGCGGACCGTTAATTATAACTTCCTTTCCCATTCTTTGTGTTGATATCAGGCAAGCTGATCACCAGACATATTTGGAAACATGCCTAAAATATAGTATATTTTCTAGGTTTACAGAGTTACTAACTGTTTTTTTCTGAAAATAATATGGCCACAGAGCAGTATTCTACATGCATACCAACATGATTTACAGCTTTAAAAGACTCAAATTTAAATAAAACACGTGTTTATTAGATTTTTCTGATAACACCATGAAATAAACTTGTTTCAGTCATTTATAGAGTCAAATTATAATGAGGGATAGCTCTAATGTGTACCTTTTGCGAAGGTACAACGCTAGCAAAGTCAGCTGGCACAAACAGAATAAATATTCATGAAATCACAACTTTCTCCAGTGTTAGTTAGTTCCAGTGCAATTCCCCTTATTATTTAGTGTACTAGGCTGGATAAGCCCTAAGTACTAAGAAAAAAATAATGAAAAATAGAGAGAGTAGAGAGAGTTCGTTTTGGTGGGGGAGAGATCAGAATATCTCACCCATGCAAGAAATCTTCTGTGTAAAGTCTAGTATAGCCAATGTTTCTCCTTTTGCCTGTACATCACCACTTTTGCCAATGTCTCGGCCGCTCGGCCTTCAAGAGACAATCTTCTCGTCACTGCCAACACCGCTTGGCTTCCAAGTGACATTCAACAATTACCTCGGCTGAAGCCTACAATGTTTTGACTGGTACCAGCAATGTTAAAAAAACGTCATTGCTTAACTGGCTCAGTCGGTGTACTCACACAAGGCTCCCTAACATGTAAACAGACCTACAGTTAAACCTTGATGTGGAGACAAACAACAAGATAAACTGACCCCAAGTTCAGGTCGAGACGTATACAAGCCACTCCGTGGACAATAGACAACACCACTCATAGTCGACAATAGACACGGACCACTCCTAGTTAACTTAACAATCGACGCAGACCACTGCTAGTGAAAACAAAACTAACATCTGATTACACAACAAACTACACAGGCCGCACCTACACAAGTCCTAAACCAAATTAAAATCAAGACACGATAATTTGCAAATTAAACAACTCCACAACGCTACTCATCCGTGAACAAGATGATATAATACCTAACTAAGAACAACCCAAGTCTTCGATAATGAAACCACACACGTGGGCGAACATATTTAAAGTCTGGGCACGTGGGGAAAGAAAAGGGCACGTGGGCACCATAAAAACCAATTTAAAATGAAAAATCACTACTATTACCTGCACAAACTAGAACTCCTTCGTGAATTAAATCCTGTCACATCTAACTAAACAAATATCAAAAGACTGCAATATAGAAGCCCCACAAGTTGGGCACCATTTAAAAATCAATCTAAACTATGAACTACTATTATTACCTGAAATAACTAGGCTAGACACAAAACAGTTAATGGCCACCAATATCCTTGCCAGACGACGCCACTTGTACTAGGGCGGAGAGGCCCTTAGTACCAAGAAAGAAATAAAAAGAGAAAAATAGAGAGTTCGTTTTGGTGGGGGAGAGATCAGAATATCTCACCCAGGCAAGAAATCTTCTGTGTAAAGTCTAGTATAGCCCAAGCAACTAATAAACTAAACTAGTAAACTAACTAGATGTCCTAAGCTGAAGAAAACAGCTGTAACTATGAATACAACATTGAAGATAATTTTATTTAACTTCACATCAGCATGGCCAACAAATAACGACATTAACGACAACTACGTGCTCGACCAGCATCTCAAATATATAGCGATCTACCATCTAACTATCTCTTAGCAAGAATACAAATGAAAATCTACTTTAACCAACTGAACGTACCCCCCCCCCCCCCCCCCCCCCCCCCCCCCCCGCCTGGAATCAGCCAGACCACAAACGTTACCTGTGGTCGCCATACCTGCCGACCAGCCCATTGTGCAAAGCATCAGTAGCTAGGTTAGGCTCCCACAGGTTGGTCCGGAAGTCAAATAGGCTGAAACTTTGTCAGTCGGCCGTTTAAATATCCCATTGGCCTGATTTTTCCCCATCTTCCATCTAACTCTATTAACTGCCAATGTTTCTTCTTTTGCCTGTTGGCCATTTTCAACCCAGAATAAATTCAAGATCTTTAATATGCTGCACTGTAGTCTTCGTCGCTTCCACCCTATTACATTAGGAACACAGCTAAAAATTACAGGCAAATTGAGTGTTACATATATTTCTGTTTGTGTGAAAATACTAATTGTTTTGGGAAGTCAGTTCTCTTTACCAAATAATGGTGCTCTGTTATGATGCTTCAAAAGATTCTCTTAAACAAGATCTAATGTATAGATTAAGCTTTATTTTTTTTTTACTCATACATTATTAAGGGGTTCATATTCATTTAAGATTTATTTTGGATATATTTTAATGAGTTCTAATTTTTGTAAACAAACCATCTGTTTATTTACTAATAGTTAATTACCAAAGCAATTATCTGTAGTAGTATTCTATTATTATTCCCCAGCAATCCCTGGTCACTTTGGTATAATATGTGTATGCTGCACGGCAGCTGAATTCGTATAGTAAGGCTATGTTTTAATGTGTTACACTTGTGAAATAAAAAAATAAAAAAATAATTACATTACCACTCCTTGGGCCTGGTTTGATTTGATTTGATTCAAGAACCGACATCACGGGGCATTCCCATAAGCGCTCCGTCAGCATCTTCAGCAGCCAGCGAAGAGTTCCGATACTAATGGTGTCAGTAGCTTTCTGATTAAACGTCCGTCTTGCCTTTCCTCTGAGCCTTGAGCTTCTGCCAGAACCTCTCGTCACCCCCAACTGTATCAGTCTCACCAGACTGTGGTGATCCATCTGCTCCTCCGCATTGTACACGTCCTCCCACAAGGCACTAACCACGTCTGCCCTATCATGTAGCAGTATTCCACCAAGTTGTGCAGAGCCAGCCAGTCTGTCCGCCTGTTCATTTCCCAACACACCGGCGTAACCCGGTGAAAAAATCCAGACAATACTCCTCACTCGTGTCCTCGGCAGCGAAGCATGCCACTCTGCACGAAGCATACCTGTTCTGATCTTCCTCAGCATGCTTTCTGAATCAGTTACAATTACAATGTGTGTGTGTGTCGTGTTCTCTAGCCAGCAGAAAGCTGCAGTGAACACCTCCACCTCCATTCTTAAGCTGGATGTTGTGGTATCATATGCTAGGCTCTCCTGCACCAAACGTCGACCATTAACTTTTGCTAAAATGCCCCAAGCACTTCTTTTGCCTCCTGACACTGAACCGTCTGTGTAAATGATCAAATCCTCTGAGCGAGCATTATCTTGAATTAATTGCTGAATTTCCAGCTCTGTGGCACCTGCTGGCCAGTCTCTGCATTCCCGGCTCAGTGTGATTATGACTCTACACAAGTCTGACTGCTCAGGTGGCACTTTGACCCACTCCTCTCCTCGCCTAATGTTCTCAATGTTGCAAACCTGTCTGATTGTATCTTCTGCCTGAGCCATCCATGACCTCCCTCTTATCAGCCGCTGACCCTTAACTGCACCCAGAGCTTCATGCAGAGGGTGGTCTGTATCTGCAGCTACCCTGAGATATGACTTCGCCTGCATCACCTTGTGCCTACCTGCAACCGTCGGCAAACCAAGGATGTATCGCATACACACCACTGGGGTGTCTCTGGTGCAACCCAGAATGACCTGCATAACCGCGTTCTGTATGCGCTCTAGTTTGTCCATCTGACTTTTTGAGACGGTAAGCAGTCCCAGGCCATAATCCACCACTGACAGGATCAGGTGCTGATATAGTTTGAAAAGCATTCTCTGCTCTATGTCAATTGCAGCCATAGTCTTAAGTGCACTAAGTCCTTTTTGGCATCTCGTCACAACACTCTCCACATGGTCCTTAAATGACAGGCTCCTGTCAAACGTAATTCCCAGATACTTCAGTTTGCTCTCTCTGTTGACGTCTCTACCATCTATCGTGAGACTTGGGACATTAGTTTTAATGATTCTGTTGTCCAGAGAACACCACAAAACAGACGCCTTTTCCGGGTGGACGACAGCCTTTATTTCTGTACACCACTCAGTCACTTTGTCTACTGTCGCTTGTAGCTCCTGCGCTGTTTGATTCCTCTCTTCCCCCTGCCTATATGCAAGTATATCATCCGCAAAGGTCAGTATCCTTCCAACTCCTGGTGCTTCTAGGCTTGCAATCTTGCTCGTATACACGTTGAAGAGCACAGGCGAGATGGCGGATCCCTGTGGCAGTCCTGGGGCCAAAGTGCATGGTTCAGAGGTCCATGAGCCAAGTCGGAGAGCAACCCGACGTGAATACAGGACAGCTGCAACCCAATTCACCAGCGATGGATTGACCTCCTTCTCCCTCAGTGCAGTCATTAAGATGTCGTATCTCACTCTGTTATAAGCATCCTCGAGATCTAGTCCTTCCGCCATTGTTTCCTGTCTGTTCTGGAACCCTTCATAGACGTCAAAAGCAAAAGTGGCCGCATTTGCCCAAGTGTCCTTTCCTTGCCTGTAACTTCCCAGACCTCTTGGGAGAAGCTTCCCCCTTTCCAAAAATTCTTGTAACTTTACAGCAACTATCTTCTCCAAGACCTTCCCAAATGTGTTTTGGAAGGTGATGATTCTAAAGCCACTAAGCTTAGACTTTGGTAGTGGTATTAGATAGCTGTGCACCCAGTCTTGCGGTACTGATGCTGTCTTAATACTCTGATTAAAACAGTCGGCCATCTCTGTCAGGTCTACATCTGTCAAAGCCTTCATGTGACCATACCTGACTCCTTCAGGCCCTGGTGCAGTGTCTTTTGCTTTTTTCAAAATTTGTTTGATATCTTCCACTTGTATCATGTCTTCATAATGCATATTCTTCAAGGTGCCAGCTAACTCCTTTCTAACTGCATCCCTGATGTCTACATCATTATGATCTGTCTGAGCTATAAACCTATGGAGAAAAGTCTCCCCTTTCTCCTTGTCTGTTGTCACACGCACACCATCGTCTCTACAAATTGTTCTGACTGTCATAGGCCGATCTTTTCTTTGCATCTGCCTGTGCAGTTTCCAGAATTTCCCCAATGTTTTATCGCCTCCTATGTCATTCACAAAAGTTTCCCACTTAGCTCTTTTGGCCTCTGCAGCACAGCACTTGAAAACCTCCACCTTATCTTTTTTCACATTCTCCGCCATCTCCACTTCCTCTCGTGAGCTTGAGGGTGTCTGTCGTACTTTCTTTAGCTGCTTTACTGCAGCTCTCTTTGCCTTCCATGCCTGTTCTACTTCTGGAGTCCACCATGGGCGCTGTAAAAAATTGGCAGTTCTTTTGCATGCTCCCTGTCTGAGGCGTCCAAGTAGGTTGTTGGTCCACTTATATTGGAAGGTCTTGCGTACTCTCCCAACCTTAACCTTACTGAGTTTAGAAATCAAGACTAAACATGGTAGGTGATCACTCCCATGGTCATTCAGGACAGTCCATTTAACATATAAAACCGACGACTGAGAGACAAATGTCAAGTCAATGGCTGTGTCTGCATCTCCAGACCTCATTGCCATTTTAGTCGGCCTCCCATCATTGATGCAGACCATATCGGAGTCAACCATGGCCTCTGCAAGAGCAATTCCCTGTCGGTTTTTTCCACTGCTGTCCCATACTCTGTTCCTCGCGTTAAAATCCCCACATATGAGTAACCTATCACCTGGTAACTCCTCCAGTTCCTTGAGCCAGCTCCATTGTTCACTTCTGACAAAACAGTCTACCTTGGCATATATATTTATGAGGTTCCAACTTAAGCCACCAATTTCCACCTATATCCCTTAAACCTCTCGTCCACTGTGGTTCCACTGGCTCAAGTCAAGCACCACATGCTTCACTCCATCCTTTACCACTAGACCCTGTCCATGTCTCTCCTGTCCAACAGGGTTTATATAACTGACGTACCCCAGGCAATGATATCTGTCTGTATTTAGCTCCTGGAGCATGATGACATCAAAATCAAAAATCAACCTCTCCAGTACAGGACCTCTCTGCCTAGCACTCCGACAGTTCCAGTATCCTACTCTCACATGATTAAAGCCCAATCTCTCCGCTTTTCGCCTTGTTCTCCTAGCACCCGCCCTCCTATTTCTATGTCTTCTTCTCTCCCCATTTTCTCGTCGTCTCCTCCTCACTCCCTCTTCACTAACCACTGAATAATGTGTCAAGCGCAGAGCACTTGCCCTGTAGCTCCGGCGACGATTCTTATGTATATTTTTAAAATCCATAAGAAAAAATAGAGTACTGCAGGAAATGACCGGTCGCCCTAGTATTGCCTGCCTGCTAGGGAAGGAGCAATGGATGTCCCGTAGGAGTCCATACGCCTGGTGCCGCCACGCACGCCCGCCAGAAGTCCAACGTTCATGACCAGCTCACCCGTGGCCATCCAGTTCCTCAGCACGTTGGCCCACCTTGAACTTGGGGGGTTTAAATTCGGAGTTTGCTGTCTCCTAGATGGACTGCTGTGCAAAGCTAACGGGTTCCATCTACCCGGACTTCTTCCAGAAAGAAGGCAACATTTTGCTAAATCCCATGGACATTAGGAAACTTTGTGCACTCTTAAACATCTGCTGCACTTGGGCCTCTGATGCTAAACTCCTTGGGACTCAAAGAGTTAACACAATCTCACTTAAGAAGAACACGTGGTTAACATAAACAAAATGCTTGTCCCAACAGGGATGTATTATTATAATTAGTCCTCGGTTGAAACTTTTTTTTTATAAAATAAAAACTCTCGATTTTTTTCCCCAGACCTTTGGAATTTGTGTTAATGTGGTTGTACTGTGTTTGACAATACTATCATCATCATGTGCCATGTCTGTAAATTTAGGCTGCCATATTTTGCTAACTCAGAAAATCATCAGAGTCACAGATCAGTTTGTCGGACTCTACTATGCATAACCCAATAGTACAGCCTCAAGGGTTGAAATAAGCACAAGGAAACAAAAACTGTTAGTCTCAAATTGACATTTTGAAACTACATAATGTATAATTTATTTTTGTTTAATAAAGTACCAATCTTAAAATGCATAAATGCCAAAGCTGTAATTAATAATACACTTCAGAAATGTTACAGAGAAGCATAAATCAAAATGGATGCTGTCTCCACAGTGAAGTTTGTTTGCAACAGATCTCTAACACTTTCTCTCTCTGACCCTCGCTGTATACTTAGACAACTGATCGTTCACCTCTTGAAGTTCATTTCCCACTTACATATTGTTTACCTCTTGCCCATCTGCCTTTAACTTTTGGTTCCACTATGGATTTCATAAAAAAATGTTTTTAATTATAGTGATAAGCATATATAAAAAATCATACAGATAATTGAGCTTACTTGATGAATTATTGAAGTCAAAATGACATACTTTTTGCTGCCTCTGTTTTTTAACTGTCATTAATTGTGATACAATTCCTGGAACACAAAAATAAGTGAAAAAAATAACGGAGTCACAGACAAGGCACTAGTGGTGCATACATATTAATGTTAATTAATTTTTTCTTCAGCAGATTTAGAAGTGTAGAACGTTAACTATTCCCTTGTAGCATTATAAGGTGTCCTGATCTGTTTCTATTATTGATTAGAAATGGACAAACCAGGACTTTTTGTCTGAATTTGGTGTGCTGCCTAGTCTCGAGGCATAGTGTCCGCCTCAAGTGCTGGAGGTTCCGGGTTCAATCCTCGGGAAGGGCTGGGATTTTTTTAACGTGGACTTTGACTTCTAGTAATTCCCCATTGTCTCTTGTTAGTAATATTGGACACCTGTGTACATTGTTGCACAAATACAATATCCCTTGGCAGTTGGAGAAAAATTTGGAGTTTAAAATTTACCTAAAGTATTTCAGGATCCTCACCGGTGCTACAGAGTCTGTGCACTGTGCTGAGCTTCTTCAGACTCAGACTTGAGTTAGAAGTGGAATTGAGCGCTTATGGGTTACTACCCATGTGCCATAATGTTGATGCATTCAAGATTAAAACTTGTCTAAATTTGCAGCAGATAAATGCAAACAAATTAACAACATTTAGGAAATGTTACCTAAAACAATTAAAGTAAAGGACCCTTTTCCATGCCTTTAGGCGTATAAGGCATATAGGGCAGACCTATATTTTATAAACCAATCAGCACAAGATGGGTAATGAATGTGACCTATTTTACACTGAAATGTCAGCATTAGTGCCAACTTTCTGGTTTGACCAAATTAGGTATAAATATAAAGATGATGTGTGAAATTAATTACAAAAGCACACTGCTTCTGTTGTAACTCCACAGCTGTTGCAGATAGATCAAAGTAACAAAATGTTTGTGAACCCATATGATTCATCCTTTGTACAATCCCTTACTAGAGCCTTTTCTTCTTCTTTATTCACGGGCTGTAAACTCCAGTGAAAAGTCCTGGTTGTTCGTCCATTTGGACTTTGGCTTTGGGCCAGGGCCTGAGTTTTGCATGTAAATTTGTTTTACTTGTTATTTGTGTACAACTGGTTGTTCCTTGCCACTCGGGCAGAGGCACTCCCACTTCGAAAGGAAGCCTTCTACATGCTTGAGAGGGAGGCAGCAGGTTTGTTCTTGTTTTCCCTACAATGGGGCTCCAGAACCCACACAGGGATTTTACTAGAGCCACATTCACATCCAACTTCAGAAAATCAAAACTCATACATATAATGTTCCTTCATTGCACCACCATTTGCATGTAAGTGTGTTCACCAGTTGTAAGCTCTCGTAGAAAGTCCTGGTTTTTCATCCATTTGTACTGTGGCTTTGTGCCAGGGCACTGAGTGTGCATCCACTTTACTGACTTATTTGTGTGCCGTCTGTTGTTCGCAGGGCTCCCAATGCTGAGTTCCCCCCCCCCCCCCCCCCCCCCCCCCCCCCCCCCCCCCCCCCCCAGATCTGGGTTTTTATTTGACGCCTTGGGGAAATCTGGTTTTTTTTAAAAATATTTATATCCTTATATAAAAGTGGTAAATGTTTCGTTTCGTAACTATAAATTTTGTACATTTTAACAATCTGGGTGTTTTATATTGTTTTTTTGTTCTTTGTCTATATACATTGCTTGGGTTTTTGTTTAGCGAAGCTGGGTTTTTCCAAAAAATCCCATTGGCAGTCTGTTACTTGCCACTCGGGCAGATGCACTCCGACTTTGAAGGAAGTCCCCAGTTAGTCGACTCCTACAGCATGCTTGGTGGGTCTATTCTTGATTTCCCCACAATGGGGCCCCCAGAACTCACACGGGGAAAAACTGTCATTCCAAAAGACCACTTACCAAAATTAAGAACAGGATACAGCAGTAAAAGAACAGCAGCTAGACTGATTAAAATAATGAAGAAACAAAACAGATTCCTTCTTTTTAATTTGCTTGAAGGCCATGCTATACAAAACCAGCATGCTGTCCGCTTCTCTTCTGTCTTTGGTCTGTGAATGAATTTTGTAATATAGGAAAGAGGATAATTAAGAGGTAATAGATAACATTAAATAAATAAGTTGAATTGAGCTGAGTTATTAACTAACATCATAGCATTTGAAACATTCCCTTAACTACTTCATTCTCACTTTCAGCAGCCAGTGAAGCATTCTAATTCCTGTGGAACAGTGGCAGTTTGATTATAAGTCTGCCTTGCATTTCCTCAGACTGTAGAGTGTTGACATTACAACAACTGAAATGAGATTCATGCAAAGAGCTTTCAATATAACATAAAGAGAAAAGATCAGAGATGATGAAATCCAAATAAAAATAGGCATAGCAGCTGCTCTGGATTTCATTAGAAGACGACAAAAGGTGAAATGGTTTGGCCATTTAGTGTGGATGTCAGCAGACAGTATAGCACAGCAAGCAATGATGTACAGAGGGGGCGGGAAGTGAAGAAGAGGCCGACCTTGCAAGTGTTGGACAGAGGGAATTACAGAGGCCCTGGGTATCCCAATTCATGAAGCACACAAATAGGCTCTTCTCTGTAAATTATACTTCACCTCGACACTGCAAGGTACAAGAGGATTAAGATGAGATGATTATACTTCACCTCGACACTGCAAGGTACAAGAGGATTAAGATGAGATGATTATACTTCACCTCGACACTGCAAGGTACAAGAGGATTAAGATGAGATGATTATACTTCACCTCGACACTGCAAGGTACAAGAGGATTAAGATGAGATGATTGGAGTGTTGACCAGTACCACTGGTCACTATTAGCTGTACCATTCTCTCCCCACCATAATGATATATTTATGCTTCCATTATTGACTTGCTTTCTCAGGTCACAATCTATATCTAACCTGTTATGCATTAGTTCACCTCCCAATTGTGCAGAACCAATCAATGTCTCTGCCTGTTTATTTCCTAACACACACGCATGCATGACCTTTGGTGTGATTCTCGTGCCTCCCTATAGCAGAGTAGAACACTTTCCTCTGGAAAGATGCAAAGTGTTGGTCTAATTTACATCTTTATAGTTAGTGGCAGAGGTGCCGTCACAAAGGCTTAGCCCTTTTATAATTGTCTTGGGGTGGGGGGGGGGGGGGGGGGGGGGTAGTGGCGCTCATGGGGGTTCAAAGCTTGTTTTAGTGAGCAGTAATAATTATTATTATTATTATGTTCCCGATAGCAAATAAATGTAGTAATATGTTTGAAATAATATACAATGTATTTTTAAAATAACAAAGAGAATATCTATACCTGGAGACCACTTAGCCCCTTTGGAAATTTTATGGAAAGGGGGTTGAGGGGGGGGGGGGGGGGGGGGTTTGGTGGTGAGTAAACCTCCTTTAAAATTATTGTGTGTGTGTGTATGAGGCACCCAAGAGGCCTGAACCCCAGTGTCCAATGCCCCTGGTTAGGTAATAAATAAATGCTTGGTGAAAAAACATATTCCTTCCTTATGATAACCATTCATCTCCCAGTGGAGAAAGACTAAGCCCTGTTAATGATATTTTGTCTTTAGGAAGGAAATATTTTCTACTGGATCAAGTAGTCAATATCACACCAACCTTCCTTACAACATACATTCTTCTTCTTCTTGTATTCGCTTTCTGATTTACACCGACAGACAGGTTCTTGTGATAAACTTGACTGTTTTTATGAGTTCATTTTTAGTCCCGTACAACTTTGTGTACAGTGATGACTCACTGGGCCAGTATTCCTTTCTTAATGGGCTGAACAAGGGGCATTCTTGCAGAACATGTTCTGTAGTCTGCACACATAGCCCACAAGGGCAAAAAGGTAAACTACTTAGACGAAGCCTGTGCATATGCTGGTTAAGTTTGTTATGTCCTGTCCTGAGACGTAGGACAATGACCTGCCCATGCCGGTCAAGTAAGCGGTAGTCATCTTTGGCCAGACTCTGTTCACTTCTAATAGCCTGGATGGCCCTTTCCTTCTCATAGTATGTTACTGCATTCTCTTCCTGGTCACATTCTGCCCCTTTTTTAGCAAGTTTATCTGCGGTTTCGTTTCCTGGTATACCACAGTGGGATGGCACCCACTGGAGTACAGTACATTTTTGTGCAGCCACCTTGCCAAGTTCAGATCTCAAGTGAAGGAGTTTGCCACTCTTGAGGGCTTGAAGCACTGAAAGCGCATCTGTGAATATAACCACTTGGTGGCAGTCAGAACTGGTGTTGTGTAACATTTCGGCAGCCTGCTCTAGTGCTACAATCTCTGCTGTGTAGTTGGAACAGAATTTACCAGTGGGTATCCACTTTGTGTGGCGGTGGTTGCCTGGGTATGTAATAAAGACTCCAGCACCCCCATTTTTAACCGCACTGGTTGCTGATCCATCTGTGTAAACATGTATCCATGACTGTTCGGGATAGTTTTCATGAATCATGCTAAGAGCAGCTGTTCGTTTTTGAAGATCATTGGACTCATCTCCAGTTGTGAATCCACTGACTGAAGTCATTATCTGTATTGTATCACTGACTTGCTCCCAAGGTACAGGGTATAGGGTAGGTTTCAGCGGTGTTGTTCTAATAGGTAGATCAGCTTGATACTGTCTTCTAAGTCTTTTCCCCCGATGGACAAAGCTGCTACGTTTGAGACGCCCCAATGCCAGATCATCTAACCTTTCATTAATTGGGTGTGACCGCATACTATTAAACTTCTCCATCTGGATCATAGTTTTAGTGTCTCTTCTATAGGACAATGTCTGCATTGCAGTTATTTTCTGCATCTTCAGGATTGGTGCAGTTTTCATGGATCCTGTGATGAGTCTAAGAGCTTGATTTTGCACTCTGTCTAACGATTGTAGATGGGAATTAGCAGCTGTTGACCATGCTGTTGCACCAAACTCCAAGTGGGGTCTTATCGCTCCATTATAAATTTTCTTTAGGGTTTTTCCATTCGCTCCCCATCCTGTACCTGCCAGTTTTCTAAGTAGGCCTAGTCGTCTCCTGGCCTTCCCTTCTACATTTTCTATATGTTTGCTCCATGTGAGCCTTTTATCAAATGTTACTCCAAGATAAGTGGGGAAGCTTTCTTCCTTTAGCAAGGATGTTCCTAGGTGAATACTAGCAGCTTTGTCCCTGGGGGAAAGAGAGAAAAGTGTTGTGGATGTTTTGTCTGTGTTGATGGCAACATGCCATTTTTCTGCCCACGTCATCAAGAGATCTGCTGCTCGCTGCATTCTTATATTTGCCACTGTGGTGTGTTCATCGGTACACCAAAGTGCCAGATCATCTGCATACAGGGCAGCTTTTACTCCCATAGGGAGGTCTTTCACCAGATCATTTATATACACAACAACATACATAATAAGTGCTTATTATATATTTTTTTTTAAAGGTGCCAGTACTGCGTACCGACAGAAAAAAGCCCTGGTGTTACCACTCTTTGCTTCCCTTATCAATTTAAGTAACAAATAGAAATATACAACTTGCATTTTGTTAATATTTGTTATTAAACCCTTCCTTTGGTTTCTTCCATTCTGTAGGTCTGAGCACCCTGAAATTTAAAAATATCATTCTGGATTGCAAGCCAATATGGCAAATCTCACATACCTCGTTCAACCTCCAAAAAGTTATAACCGTTAGCCTTAACTGGCATGTCAATCCGGTGCAATCTACAGCCCTGTGTGGATAGCGCCATGTCAGAATGGGGAAATATCATAAAGCATAGTACCGAGAAGAAGTGGCAGGGGCCGACCAGCACGAAGCTGAGCACAAGATAATAGTGATTCCTTAAATATGAAAGTACATGAGGCAGGACCGTGATGAGAGCGACGTTCTGCAGAGGACCTGTTATATAATGATGATTTTTACTGAATAAGCCAGTTTTGCTCTACACGTACATGGAGAGTAGCACCAGTTTGAAATCGAAACAGTTCTATAATAATAAACTAGTAGATTTTAACAAACAGTGCTATAAACTGCATTTATGTTTACCATTCTATATATCCCTTTACAACAGTTGGTTACAAGAAATGTAAATTGTAACCCTAATATTTACTCACAATCTGCGTTGCATGACTTGCCGAACTCAGATATAACCAACAGCGCAACGTAAAACCGTAAAACCTAAACCTTGGGTAGCTCAAAGTGTAGAGTAAGTAGATGGGTGTGTGAGGATGGCTAAGGTGGGTTTTGCACCAGGGCCATCGAAGTTGGTACCTTCGAACATATTTGGTACTATTTGACACTTTCCTAGCAAAACTGTACTTTTGGTACCACGTTAAATGTTTTGGTACGTTCTATAAATTGTTCTAAAGTACTTTAAATTCTGGCATTGTATATTGGATTTAGTCAGTGTTACAGAAGAAAGCCCGACGTCAATTATGCCACTGGTCATGACATATCAGTCTTGTTAAAGAAGAATATTATAGACAAATAAATAAGGAATGGAAGAAAGCAACATTTAAAGATTAACCACTAAAGAAATAAAATTAAGTAGAAATTATGGTTTACATTTTCCCTTGTGAAGATGAAAGTCACTTTCCACTTGTATAAAAAAAAAGTATGCTTAGTCTTATGGCAATTTTTCATTCCTCTGCAGCTACATGGTTTTCTCTCTGTTTAATAATATTATGATAAAACAAATCGCTCTTATCTGAAGACTTCAACGATAAATGCATTAATGAGACCAGCTCCAGGATAAATAGAGTCGGCCGTGATGAGATCAAACATATTTCACGGGGCAGTAATTGTATCAACTGGAGCCGCCAATAGAGCGTTGTAACTAGCTGAAGGACACACAAAATAATACAGAAATGCAACACATAATTTTATTCTAATAAATTATCAGGTTAACCAGATGTGCGTGTGTGCGCGCTCGCGCGCACACTAACCTGTTTAGGGAGTTTTAAAGTGTGTGTTTTTATTAACTTACAAATTTGATACCTTTTGATGTGTTTTGGAACCTTTTGAAAATATAAACTGGAACTTTTCCAAGAAAAATATCGACAGCCCTGTTGGGTACACAGGTCTCTGCCAGGATGCGTTCTGTGAGTGATTACCACGCGCCAGCACAACAGAACGCAGGCGTTCGGAGGCGAACTATACGCCGCTGCGAACCATGAGTAGCCTGAAAGAAAAGGTGAAATAAAGAGCAGTACTCTACTGGATTCTGAGTGATGTTTGTAAGTCGCGGTGCGAGGATTGATGTTGAGGGGTGCTAGTTCACATGTGTGAGTGTGTGCGCGTGTGTGTGTCAATATATATATATATATATATATATATATATATATATATATATATATATATACGTGTGTGTGTTCACCAGCTTTCTTATATCTTTGAAATTACTTGACTAAAGGTAGAAAAAGTAATAGGGGTTGCAGGAGGAAGAGAGAGAGAAAAAAAACTACTCCTGTTTTCAACTTCTGAGTTTCTTTTTTTTTTTTTTTTAACAATGCTCACACATGTTTATTGTATTATGAAGCAACACACACAAAGATTAGACATACAGTCCAATACAGCTTAGGCCTGCCTTCATTTCTTGACTTGAATCCCAGATACCTTTATCTTAATCTTCTAGCTTCTCTCTCAGACTCCAGAAGTGTCAAAATGTCACCCTCACGGACTGGGCCCTTTACGTTGCGAATAATGGATCTGTTGGAGTCATCCAAGAATTCGACTCGCACCTGTGTGCACTGTCCCTGGGACCCAGTACGTCCAAGAACCTTCAGGACTTTAGCAAGTTTGACTGGCTGAAGCTTGTCCATGTTGACTCGTTGATGGCTGACGCAGAAAACTTCTGAGTTTCTTCGTATTCACCAGCTGTAATCTCTGACAGAAACTTCTAGATGTATACAGGCTGTTAGTTTCTTGTCTCTCAGACAGAGGCACTTCGACTTCGAAGGAAGTCTCGACTCTTGGGGAGGCAGTGGGTTTCTTCTTGCTCCCCCCCCCCCCTCCCCCCCTCCCCACAATGGGACCCCGAAACACACACGGGGAATAGGCAACTGATAACAATAATAAAATGATGCTGTCTCAACAATAATGATTGGCTGCCATTTATCCACTTCTATTGAAATGTTAAGTGTAGAATCCCCCCTCCCCCTCCCCCATTCTCCCCAACCTCTTCTCCGGTGCGACTCTCCTATCACTGTCTGAAAGCCATGAGAACGGTCTTTTTCTAATTCCTCTACAACTTGAATCGAACCATGCTAAGAAGACAGCATTGTGAAACGAATGCACTAAACTCTAAGCTACAGAACTGTACTGTGACTGATAGTTGATTTGGAACCCATTTGTATGTTTATTGCAACGTCCTCATTTCGTTCGTCCGTCTTAGTGACGTAATTGTGTTGTGCCTGTTTACAGCATTGCTGCAATATTGGCGCCTTTCATCCGACACATCTGGCTTCATTGGGCATTTGTTCACCGGGCTAGCCTTTCCTGGTAGATTGAAACAATTCCTGTTTGTGAGTCGGGCCAGAAGATTGGAATGAGAGCGTAATCAGTAGAGGATCATTTTTCCCGTCTTTAGGCGCACTGTGCTTATAGGTCTAGACCTATATTTTATAGACCAGTCGGCACGCGGTGGCCGACCACCTTTACTTCTTAGCCCTTTCAATTAAACAGGGGAAGTCTCCACAAGGTTGGCTGCAATGGATCTCCAGCAAGCCCTGTCTCTTGTCATGGTTGTACATTCTCAGACTGCTGTCTGTCAGTCTCTTGACGTTGTCCTCCTACTTGTATCGTTGCCTACCTCTTGCTCTCTTGCCTTCGTTCTTTCCCTCTTGTATGGTTTTTTAAAGTATGTTTTCTTTTAATGTGGCGAAAGTATTTCAGTTGTCTCTTTTTATTACTTTCAATAATTCTCTTTTCTTTTGTAGCCTTTCCAGAGCCTCTGTATTGGACTATTTTTGTTTCCATCAAATATTACCTATTTTTCTGTATACCCACAACTGCAGTGACTTAGTTCGATTTTCTAGTTGCCTGTTTATTGTCAACGTTTCTGCACCATATAGCAGGACTGAGTATACATAACTTTTAACGATTCTCATTTTTAGTATATTGTTTATCTGTCTAGCTGTGAGTAACTTGCGTTTATTATTGAAGTTCCTATTCTCTTTCTGATTTCTGTCTCGCTTCTTCTATTATTTGTTACTACCTGTTCTACATGGGGGGGGGGGGGGGGAACTGTTACTTGTTCTAATAGCCCTCCGTTTACTGAAACGTTCACTGTTAGCCGCTCTTTTCCATTGTTATTTACCATTATTTTTGTTTTTCGAATTTTAATGTCTAAAACATACTTTGTTTACTTGATTAGCTAGTTCTTGTGACTCTTGCTTGCTTTCTGCTAGTAGCACTGAGTCATCTGCGTATCTCATATTTTTTTTTTTTTTTTTTTTTTGGGGGGGGGGGGGGTGTTATTATTCAGTCCAGGCAATTCCCCAACCTGTTTAAAAATGTTTTATGTATATAAGTTAAAAAGGTTTGGGGATAACACACATCCCCGACGTAATCCTCTTTTTATCTCTGTGGTGTGGTGATTTTGTTGTGTCTAACTGTTGTTGTTTGTTCCCAGTATAGGCTACTAATAATTCTGAAATCCGTTCCATCTAATCCTATATTTTGGAGACATGCGATTAGCTTTTCATGTTGCACCCTGTCAAAGGCCTTCTTGTAATTTATGAAATATGCAAAAATGCTTTTCTGGATTCCTATATATTTTTCAGTCAGCATCTTTAAACAAATTGTAGCTTCCGTAAAGCCACTGTTTTTCTTAAATCCAAACAGTTCCCCAGACACTTCATTATGTATTTGACTTTGAATTCTCTCTGAATGATCTTGAGAAGTATTTCAATTATATTGCTCATCAAGCTAATTGTTCTAAAATCTTCACACTCAACGGCTCTCAGCACTTTACCTGGTACCAATTTTAGGCTGGGTCGACCTTGTAGCTAAGGTCATTTTTGACAAAAGTCTGGTTCCGCATGACCTGAACCCACAACCTTCGGATCCTCAGGGAAATAAGAAAGACTTATCAAACGTGCAAGCGCCGGAACCCGACGGGAAAATTTTGATCATTTGTGGACGTTCTAGATGTTTTAATTGTAGTCTGTAGACTCGCTGTGGAAATGGAAAGGAGAATTGGGGGTGGGGGTCGGGAGGGGGGAGGCCTCAATGTCCTAAGCCGGATCTTTTTCCCGACCTAAAGATGCCGGTCTCATTATAAAGTGTCGAATAAAATGTGACAGTACTTAAGTGTCAAAGTGTCTTTTACAGTAAAAGTACTTTTACACGCCGGTGACGCATCGGACTTATGAGACAAGACTCATAGTTTATCGATCAATAAGTGATATAGTCAACATCACGCCGGACGCCTTTTCTTTACGGAACTTTACCTGGTACCCATTTAAGACTGGGTCGACCTGGGCTCTATTACAGTAGCGCTGAATCAAGAATGCCCTAAAGATGTGTCGTACTAGGTACCGCCAGAGGAAGAAAAAAAGCATTGGTTCTTCTTCTTCTTCAGCGATCTCTGGTCATGCGCATAATCCACTGTGGGTCATAAACTGGGATGTCTTTTCAATGTCTCTTAGGTTTCCCCAAAGCTTAGTTGTAAGTTCTACTGGGTGTTGCCATATGTCGCTCCGCAGCTCCGCCAGGAGAGGACAGTCTTGCAGGACATGTTCTGGAGTCTGTTCAGCACGAAGGCACCGGCAGAGAGCTGTTTGGCTCATACCTAATTTATGTGAGTGTTTATTGAGTCTGCAGTGTCCAGTGCGTAAGCGAAAAACTGTGACTTGGTCTGTTCTGTTCAAGTGTTTCAGAAAATCTTTTCCGTAGTTATAACCAGTGTTGGTTTTCCAATCTGTTTCTGATTTTCTCTTAATGAGAGTTTTGACTTCTGGAAAAGATAGTGGCTGGTAGGTCTGTGGTTTGTTACTGCCTTTCTTGGCTAAAGCATCTGCGCTTTCATTGCCTTTGATGCCACAGTGTGACGGAATCCACTGCAAGTGAATTTCTGCCTTATTTGACAACATAGCAAGTTCATGTGTTAGACTTGCATTGGTTCTA